ACAAAGGAAAAAAGAGCCCTAGAAACATTTTGACGATTTCAAGTCTTAATTGATGCTTAGCAATAAGCTTATGTCACAAAGTTGAATATTCCTCATACGCCTAAGTGTTCTATTGCCTCTCATAATCTAAATCTACAATCAATTTTCCAGTTATTTCTTTTCTATAAAAACATTCAGAATTACTTGAGACTTCCTCACAATTGTTTTTTTGTTTTGTTTTGTTTTGTTTTCAGCTTTGATACAGTTAACACTTGTGGTGGATACTGTGAATGGCTCACTGAGTGCTTCTCCCAACCTCCTTTTGAAATTCTTCACTCCATTGCAGTCCTGGAAAACAAATATTTCACTTCCCAGACTTCCTGGCTTCTGGGTTTTGGGTGGGAGTTAGGCTCTGCCAAACAGAAGCACTGGTGGGAGAACTGAATTTGCAATTGAGTTAAGTGGAGAGAGAAGCAGGGCTTAAAATATTCATTTTGTTCAGACAGATTGGAGCATCCATCACTAGACCTGGAGTCTGCAGCTGTGATTGATAGCAGCAGCCCATTTTAGCAGATGGCTACTGAGTCGTGACAAGAGAAGTAGCTTCACTGGTGGCCAAGTTCTACAAAGTGGCTTTGGGACTTGCTCCTGGAGTTCCCATCCCAAAAGTGGAACCAACGCCAAAGAGGGAAAGAAATGGGGCCAAGCATGAGAGACTCCTTTGTTGTACAAATTTTCTGATTTCACCTTGAGGGACTGGGCTAGCACGTGTTCTTTAACCCAATGATTATGTAAGTCACTTAATAGCCTGCAATAAATCCTTTTCTGATTAAATGACTTGAATAAATTCTGTTCTCTGGGGTTGAATCCTCACTGATCCAACATAGAAATTAGTTTTTGTAAATGTCACTGGGCTTTTTGTTTTTCCTTTCTGTCTTTGTAATTACATGGATACAAAACATGAAGTGAGGTTGGCATTATTGGTTGCATTCGAAGAGCAGGTGAATTGTTCAGATTGACAATATCAGGTAAACTCCAACATAAATAATGTATCAGGCTTAGGTCTGAATTTTAGGAAATTGCCATGATTCATCTAAATGGATTTGTGGGATTGCTTTGAAACAATAGAGCCTTACTGACTGTGATATTTAAATTTTAATAGAATTTATGGGTTTTTCTTAGTTGTCATAATTTATATATAATGAAGAAATAAATTTCCAGTAGCTAAAATGGAAATTTAAATAATAAGCATCAACATATAATCCTCAAAAGAGGAAATAAGTAAAGACATCTCATCAACATATGTTCAGTATCTGTGTTCTGTCTTATCAGTAATGACAGAAATGTAAGTTAAAAAAATGTTTTATGGCAATTTACCTCCTTAATGACGTGAGCAAAGGGAAAGCAATAGGAATGAACATGCTGGCTAGAGAGCAAAGGAGGACAAATCCTGGTGGGTCCCCTGAACTCCGTGAGGCTGCAGGAACCAGATACTTCAGATGTTCGAGGAGGGAGGGAAAAGGGGAAATGTAATCAGGCCTGGCGGTCCTAGTGGTTGGACAGCAGTTTTGGTCCCTTGGTAAGAAGTTCAGTTGTTCCTCCAGAAACTGGGACCCATTGCTCTCTCCTCTAGTGCTTCTCATAATGGTGACTCGAGACTCTTTCTAAAGCCTGACCCAAACTGGCTCAATTAAGAAAGGAAATCATTGGTTCTCTTGACTGGAAAGTCCAAGGGCAGGGCTTGCTCAGGACAATGGATACGAGAGCCTCAGTGGGGTTATTCTCTGTGTTGGTCACCTCTGTTTTCCTGTGAATTGGCTTAACTTTAGAGCAGCCTTCCCCATGTGGTGTCCCCTGGTAGGTCACTTACCACCTCCCATTCCTAGTTTCCTCATTCTAGAAAAATGGAACTATAAGCCACCTACACAAGGATCCAATGAGATAGAGAATACGTAAATGCTTTCAAACCACAGTGTTTCAGAGGAATTTGTTAGTTGTTATTAGCTCAGAGGTCTGCTTTGAGACAGTCATTCTTTTAACTTGGCGTCTATACTTTCCTCCCTGTTTCTGATTGTTAATAAAATGGAATTGATTTTATCGAGCAGGACTCTCCTGCAATTTGGCACACAGGAAAAAAAAAAAAAAAGTATCATCCTCTCTACCAAGAATATAAAGAATGAGGGACATTGCTATTCCTTTATAAGTTGACACTTTAGAAATTGAGTTCTGGGTCTTTAGGGGCTGTAGAGGTGTCTCAGGGACCACAGTGTGTATGGGGGTGGAGGCGAGGCAGGAGGTGCTGGCAGGCAGCTGGCAAAGACTGAATGGGTGAAGCTATTCCACTTAATCAGAGTAGCCTTGCTTTTGTGTGTTTTCTACATCACGATTCTAGGTAAGATTTTACATCAAAAAGGAGTGTAGTAATATGATCAAAATGGCAGCAGCTTTGGCAGCAGAAGAGAAGAAATTAGCCAAATGCTGGTAGTAATCAACTAAAAGCCAATGAAGACAGAACTGATTCAATCAATTGGAGCAAAATTAAACCCCATTTGATCAAAACCTGTAATCCAATAGAAAAAAACTGATCAGTAGTAGCCTAAAGTCATTCATGCTTAAATGGCTTAAGCCCACATCTTTGCCCGCATCTGGGACTAAGGCCTCTGAGAAGCCTTAGAAATGGATGAGCTCAACTGATCCTCTTACACTGTGTGGTAGACAATATTATTAGTGTTTATGGTGTTCATAGTTCTGTCCAGTGACAGGTGAGTGGAGGTGATGCACTTAGGTGAGGAAATGCTGATGTATAATTCTCTGGACTTTCTCTTTCCTGCCAAGTTTCAGATGAATGCACCTATAAGATGGCAAGTCTCTGTCACCCTGAGTATCCAGTGGCCACACAGGGCAGAGGGCCTTGCCTGTCTTCAAGGGCTGTGTACCCTGAGTGAGCAAGCAAGCTTTGTGTTCGTAACCAACTGCCAATTTAGGATTGCTCCATTACAGCAGCATAAATTAATATTCACTGAGAAGAAACCTGGAGGTTCCAGGAAGATTTCCCAGGATGTGAAATTCATAGGGAAATGGATGGGAAAGAGCAAATTTGAGAGTGCCCAGTGAATTGGGGGTGAAGTGAAGAGGAGGAGGAGCAAGTGGAAAACAGCTAATTGAGGAAGTGGTGTGATTTAGTGGAAAAAGCATGGTCTTTGGAGTCAAATGGACTTACCTAGGGTTCAAATTTAGGTTTCACTTTTTATTTTCTTTCTGTCTTTGGCCAAGTTGTCAACCTCTCTCACTTTTCCTACCTATAAAAGCACAATAACATTACATGATTGCTGGGAAAGAGTAAATTACATATGCATATGTATGTGGCTAGCACTTTGCCCAGTATCTAATGTTAAGAAATCAAATTCAGGTGTCCTTTCTTTCAGTCCGCTTTCCTCTAATACTACCTTTACATTTGGTAGTTGCTAAGATTTGATTTCACAGATTCTTCAACTGGGACTCCTTCAAGTCCCTCACTCCAGGGTCTGCATCCCTCATATCGCTGCTAGAACTTTGATATTAGAAGGAAAGGCAGCCAAACCCTCTATTTTATTGCTTTATCTGTTGTCGTGCACTTGGGTTCTGAAGATGAAATCATGGCCAGGGTAACTGAGTCTAAAGTCTGAGCAAGGAGGAGCTTGTGAGAGAACAGTCTAGAGACTCGTGGCAGCACTCTCCTTGCTGATATTTCAGCTCTCTTCTTCCCACATCCCTACAAAGCGCTCTCCTCTCCCCTCATTCCTCCCCCCCCCCTACTTCAGTCGCCATTTATAGCAGCCTCCAGTCTGCTTGGTGCCCTTCCATCCTGATCTTCAAGATATATATTTAAAAGAAACTGTATTCAGAACTAAAGTGGAACCATTACACCCCAAAACATAAATATAAAAGGAAAGGAAGGCATCAGTTTCCTGGACAAGAACCTCTCATCCGTGCAAATTGGGATCACTCACTGACCCCTGAAGGCCTTGGAGGACACGGCTATGCACTGATTCCCCTGCCACACTTGGGAAATTACCTGATCCCAAAGCCCTGTTTCTTGTTGAAAAATATCCCTTGATCACACCCTGGTTGGATCTGGGGACAGGGTGCTAATATAAAAAAATTTTTATATTACAAAATGTCCTTAACTGGAGAGAATATGCAGAACAAAGTGTGTTTTTTCAAAAGGATGCATAAGACTGGAGAAAGAGAGTTAACATTTACTGTTTCAGTGATTTAAAATACCAATTCTGAAAAGGAAGAAGGCTAAAAGGGAAGTGAGAGGAGAAAGCCTGAGTATAGGAAGGGTCCCAGAGGCACAGCGGTACAGTACCCTCCCCCACTTGTAGCATTGGCTGAGGGTGAACATTTGTGACTTCCTTTACCATCAGATGTTCAGAGATAGGCCTGGGGTTGGGGTGTGCATTTCATTCAGTGCTAATGTTTTAAAGGGAGCCTAAGGAATGATTACTTGATTTGTTAAAGCAAGATGAACGTTTGAATGTAGGAAGCAGCAAATCTTTGGGGTCCATGTCCCCTGGGGAGAAGTAGGGAGGTTTCGGGAACCATCTCTACCTCCTTCCTCCTTGGAGGCGTTTCCTAGTAAAACCACTCTCCACTGACCACCTGGGGGCTTAGCGGTTTTGCAGCCGAAGGTTGTTCTGAGTTCCTGATTCCTTCGGAGGCGGGCCAACGGCTCTCAGCCCATTTGCAGAGAGAGATGATGGACACCCGCTGAGCCCAATGAGGGGCGGGAGCCCGTCCAGGCTGGACGGAGGGGTCAGCTCCGTGGTCCGGAGCACCTGCCGGCTCTTTCTGCCCCGACCCCGCTGCGCCAGGTGTTCCCAATGAAACAAACTCCTCCGGAGACACAGAGAGCACGATTACAGTCAGAAAGGGTGCTCCTCCCCCCATGGCAACCCCAGTGCTTCCCAGGCATGACTCGCGCGTTCCCGCCGAGGGACAGCCCGTCTCCTCCCGCAGCCCCGCTCCGGGTCGCCCTTTCCCCAGCTCCCGCCGCGGCCCGGGCTCCCCCGCCGGCCTCGGGGTCACGGGCCCCTCGCGCCGCGTGCGGCTCCCGGGCTCCACTTTCACTTTCGCTCTCGGGCCGGTGCAGCAGGCGGCGGCGGGCGGCGGAGCGGCTGGGACCCGGGCCCCAGGTACAGGGGACCGTCCCGGGGCGCCCCGCGGCGGGGGGCTGCGGGGCTGGAGGAGGGCGCGGTCCGTGTATCTATGAGAGAGCCTGCCTGCGCCCCGGGAAGGCCGGAGGGCCTGGGGCCGGGACAGGGGCAGGAGGGCCCAGGACGGGGCAGGAGGGCCCAGGGGCTGGAACCGGCCATTTCCGCGGGGCAGGCTGTTGGGGCGGCGGCCGGGGGCCCGCTGGGTCCCGGTCCCCGGGAGGCGGGGGCGCAGGGCCGGCGGCGCGCCCGCTTTGCTCCGCGTGCTCCGGGCTGTGCCGCCTCCGCGACCAGGAGCCTCCGGGTGCCCCGCCTCGCGGGGCGTCGGCCAGGCCTCGGCCCCCGGGCTCCAGGCTGGGTCAGATGGAGGGGTGGGTGGGTGCGGGGGTAGGAGGACGGGCCACCTTGCGGGTAGGTAGCTGCCCGAGAAGCGAACATGGCTTCGGGTGATTGCCGGTTTGGGATTGGGGCTGGGATTGGCGTTTGTCAGCGTCTCTCCCCCCCCCCCCCCCTATATTTTATTGATTTTTTTTTTTTACAGAGAGTAAGGGAGAGGCATGAGAGTTAGAAACATCGATGAGAGAGAAACGCCGATCAGCTGCCTCCCGCACACTCCCCACTGGGGATGTGCCCGCAACCAAGGTACATGCCCTTGACCGGAATCGAACCTGGCTGCCCTCCCTCCGCTCCCCTCCAGCTGTCTCGGGAACTCTATCTCCTTCCTCCTTGGAGGCGTCTCCTATAGCAATGACCACCTGGGGGCTGAGCTCGGATAAAGCTCCCGGTGGGGGCTACGGGGTTCCGAACTGGGCGCCCGGCGGCCCTGCCTCGTGCTCCGCGGGTCCCGCGGGCAGGTGCGGGGGAAACGCCTTCTACCCAGCGGGTGCGCCCTCAGCTCAACTCAGCGTGTGTGGTCTAGGATTTTTTTTTAAATACTTCAATTGGCAGAGTTGCCTGTTTCCCTAAGGAGTTGAAGTTCCCTAAAGCGTTGAAGTTGTTCCCGATTTTTAACAATTCGTCCCGCGTCCCGCGGCGTTTTAAAACAGTCCCAATTAAATCGGGACTTTTTTTTTTTAAACGCCGAGGGACACGGAACAAATTGTTAAAAATCAGGACTGTTCCGCCCAAACCCGGACGATCTGGTCACCTAAGTGATACCTAGCATATTTTCTGGTGGGCCTGAAAAATAGAAAAATATTTTAGCTTGGTAAGAAAAATGTAGAATTAATTCAACATTTTAAAATTATTTACCCGCGATGACAAGTTTATCTATGCTTGTGATGTCTTTGTGCAGAAGACTTGGGAAGAAAGTCAGTTGCCTCTTGGTGATCGATTTCACATTCCGTAGCGCCCCGATCAAGGGAAGGCTGAGAGAACAGAACTAGTTGCCCTCAACTTACTGTGTGAGTGGGAAAAGGCAGCCTAAATAAAATTCCTGAGGTATCTTGGACTCTTTCTGACTTCCCAATTAGGTACTGTTACTGATTCAGCTCACATGAATTTGTCCTTTAAATCTCAGCTAAAAATATACGAGAGCCCCAATGTAAACTGGTCTGCCAGTTTATTCTTTATTCTTTCAGTATGTGTGTGCTTTTCCTTTATAGGTATTCATTGCTGGTAACTGTGTGTGTGTGTGTATTTGTGTCAACTTGTTGGCCCACACACACCTGTGCCTTCGCCCCCTCACACACTGTAAACTCTTTGAGGTCAGAGAGAGACCTGTGCAATCTTGCACTGCTAGTGGTCAGCAAAACCCTGACACAAAATAGGCCCTCAATAATATTTGTGGAACGAGTGGTTGAAAATATTTTAACTCATTTAATCTTCACGATTATCTCAGCTGTTATTCTCATATTACACATAAAGAAAACGGAACTGGCATTAAATCGCCTGCCCAAGTTCATCCAGTATGTGGCAGAGCAAGGCCTCAAAGCCAAGATTTTTCTGACTGTAAGCCTGGTATACATATGATTAATATAGCTATACTGTATTTTCTGGCGTATAAGACGACTTTTAAACGGATTTTCCAACTCGATCCCACACCAATCACTGCAAGGCTGCTTGGACCGCCTCTCTAACTCAGCCAATCCAAGCAGGCTTTTTATGCATGCAAATTATGTTCTGTACCTGAAGCAAAAAGCCTGCTCAGATTGGCCAGAGTCAGAGAGGTGGTCTATTAAAAAAAGAACTGGTGTTGCCTCGGAAGTGGGGGGTAGTCTTATACAGCGAATATAGGCCTAAACCTATGTTTTAACTATAAAAATCAGGGGGTCGTCTTATATGCCGGAAAATACCGCAATTATATCTGTATGTCTATATAGACATATAGTCTGACTTTAAGTTGTCTGTATTTCATGTTCCATTTTGGTTTCCTGGCACTGGATCCTCCTTGGAACACATCCTCATTTGACAAAGATACCAATGTTACTGAAGGATCCTTTGCTTTGGCCCCCACATGTTCTGAGTGAATTCTCCCTGCCAGGCTCTTTAGCAGTCCCTGGGCCTTGCTGTCAGTGCAGAACCAGTTGGAATTTTTAAGTTTCCTCTTGGCTGTTGGAAAACACTCAGGGACCTTCCGTGCCCTCTTCTACCACCTTGTGTCACTGGCCACGCCCACTAAGCTACTGCCATCAGAAATTTCAAATGGAAGCATCACATAACTCCCTTTACTTCTGGTCCTCACTTGAAGGGAAATCCATTATTCTCCTCCTGCCCTGGGGTTCTGCCTGAGGAGGTAAGGGGAAGACCTCTTTACCATTTTGATATTTAATCTTTGTTGTTTACCAAATCGCTCTGATCCTCTGGAACAGGAGGCATCTTTTAGTTGGTTCTGAGAGGAAAAAAAAAAAAAAAAAAGCTTGTTTTTCCCACATGTTTACATGTCTTTTCTGGCTGATGCCTTTTGAATTGGGTCTGGCTGATGCCTTTTGAAAAGTCTCCGTGGTTGGCTGTCTCTACTGCATTGGTATTCTTTCTGTTTAGCCTGAAGATCTGCTCCATGGGGAAGAGGAGGTAGGTGCCCTTAGCTGTGTGTTTGGGAAAGGAACAGGATGGAAAGTGGGGTGGGAGAGAGCACATCAGTGGTTAACTTAAACTATTATCCTCCCCATGTAGGATTCAAGGGATAAGACCAGAGTTTGGCAAGAATTATCTAGGAGCTTTTCGCTGAAGCCGGTTTGGCTCAGTGGTAGAGCGTCGGTCTGAGGACTGAAAGGTCCCAGGTTCGATTCCGGTCAAGGGCATGTATCAATACATTGGTTGCGGGCACATCCCCGGTGGGGGGTGTGCAAGAGGCAGCTGGTCGATGCTTCTCTCTCATCGACGTTTCTAGCTCTCTATCTCTCTCCCTCCTCTCTGTGAAATATCAATAAAATATACTTTAAAAAAAAAAAGAATTATCTAGGAGCTTTTCAACCTGTCTCTTCAATAGAATTTCTGGGGAGTCTTGAAAAAAATTCTGATGCCTCATCCTCATCACCAAAGCTTCCAGTTTAATTGTTTTAGATAGGGACCTAGTCAACAGTTACTTTAAAAGTCTCCATGGTGATGTTAATACACAGCCAGAGTTGAAAAACCACTGACATGTAGGGGGAGAATCCCATGCACCACCATCATTTCCAGGGATCCATATTGCAGCATTACTCTTCTCATCTGACCCAAATGTCTAGGAGACAGAGGAGTTTGAGGGAATTACCTGGGCTCACCTGACAGAGATCCCTCCTGGCAAACACCCATTAGAGATATGTCTATCAAAGACAGAAGTATGCTGGGTTCTCCCTTAAGATTCATTCTTTTTGTGTCTTATGGCTTTAACATAAAGGGAAAAATATGGTCTGCAGCCTTAACATAAAGGGCAAAAGATGGTATGACTCCCAGGATGCTTTGAGCATAATCCCAGAGTCAATCTCCTCTTAGTGTATGAAAAATCCTTCTCCATTACATTCTTCTGAGGCTCGCTTGGTCCACATCAATTACCTGAACAGCTCTCTTTCCCCTTGTGCTTTAGCTCCTGCCCTGGCTCGCTCCATCTGCAATGAATGCTTTCAATGTCTTCCCTTCATTTCCAGATCCGACGGAATCTTTCAGACCATACTCAGAGGTTGGTCTTACATGGGGGGCATCCCAGAGTCACTGTAGCTAAGTCACTCTCTTTCTTTAGAAACATCATTCCATTCTTCTGGGCGCCCTCTTTTATTGCTCTCACAGCACTCCACACTTTCCGCTGTGTTTCATTATTTGTGTGTGAATGTTTCCTGCCCTCGCAGGTTCTAAAGTCCTTGACTGTGGGATTTGTGTCCCGTGTGTTGTTATATTCCACACAGTGTTCAGCACATGGCCTTCTATGTGGCAGGCTTTCAACACTTATGTGTTGGGTTGTTTGTAAAAGAGAATCCGGGTGACTGGTGGGTTTGTCACACATTATGGTGAAAATCACCATAAACTGTTTCAGTAATTCTTGGCTAAATATATATTAAATTAACTTTTGGCACAATCATTTGACAAGATACCAGTGTTACTGAAGGATCCTGTTATGGATACTTGCCTTGTGCCCCCTTGCTGTTCAGAATCTATTGTACATCTGCTTCCTGTGCTTTCTAGCTTTAAAAAGTCTCTGCATTGTAAGCTTTGTGGGAAGTAAGGCCAGTCTCCACTGCAGATGCTGCAAAGTCCTGATTCTGCTTTCTCTACCTCCCTGCCTGGTAGTGTGGATACCTCACCTCTGCCCTGACAGGCAGTCGTAGTTGAAGGTAGGGACCTTGAAGCTGAAACAAGCAAAGCACAGTTGCAGGAGCAGTGGAGACCTCTTTGTAGTGGTGCCTGTAGCTGTGCCAGGCATCTGATCTCCAGGGCAGTAAGGCGGCTGGCTTCCTCTAAGCCCCAATGTGTGTGTGTGGGGGAGAGGGGGGAGGGGAGAATGGTTCTCTGATCTGATGCTTCTCTGATGAAGTCCTGGTGATTCATCTTTGCTCATCATGAGGGTCTGGTTTCCCAAAAGTCCTGGCAACTCTGCAACCTATTTAGTGAGCTATTCAGGATCCTCAGCCAGAGCTTGCTCTGTTGCTTTCAACCAAGAACCTACTGATAAAAATAATTTAAACTTTGAAAACCAGTTGATGCCTTTGAGTGGGTGTTAATGATTGTTGCTAACCATAAGCTTTTTACTTCTATAAAGCAATAACATCGGGAAGGTATTTTTACTTTTAGGAAAAAGACCAAATACTTGTGTTGAAAGTTTATATCTGCATTTGCCCATGCTAGGTGGATACATTCTGAAATCATGCTGTCTTGATAATATTTTAGTGACTTTTGTTGTTGTTGTTTGTTTTAAGGGTAGATTGAACAAAGAAGATGGTATCTCTGTCCAGCAAATGGTCACTTAGAACCATGTCATTTCTACCTTCCTCACTGCTGATCCTCTTAATTGTGCCAACTCCTTCCTGGTGTCAGAGTAGTGGCACTATGCCTCCAAAAACGAGTGATGGGACCCTGTTTCCTTGGGATAAGATGAGACTTCCTGAGCACATCATCCCAGTTCACTATGATCTCCTGATCCATGCCAATCTCACCACGCTGACCTTCGAGGGGACCTCGGCAATCAGCATCACAGCCAGCCAGCCCACCAGCGCCATCATCCTGCATAGTCAGCACCTGCAGATTCTGAAAGCCACCCTCAGGAAGGGAGCTGGAGACATGCCCTCTGAAGAACCGCTGCGAGTCCTGGAATACCCACCTCGTGAGCAAATCGCACTTCTGGCTCCCACACCTCTGGAGGTTGGGCTCCCATACACAGTTGTCCTTGATTATGCTGGCAATCTTTCTGAGAGCTTCCACGGATTTTATAAAAGCACCTACAGAACCAAGGAAGGGGAAGTGAGGTATTTTTTTTCTATTATTTTTTTAAAGCTTCAAGTGCTGCCCACACTACATTTGTTATTTCAAATGGATTACCTTTTAAAATTCCCTTAAATGTTGAATTATTTCTTTGGTGTTTGGTTTTTACTTCTTTGTAGAGATAAAAATGGCAATAGTTTGTTTTCTTTGTGTTTGTTTATTTTTTAGATCTAATTTTTCATTCTGTTTTAACCAATTTTCTTGCTTTCAGCTTTATCAGAATGAATACATATTTTGTTTAATTAGATTTCTGGGATGTAATAAGCATCTTTAATTATCTTAGCCTATGTATTAGTTTTCTAGGGCTGCTATAACGGAATACCATAAATTAGGTGTCTTAAAACAACAGAATTTAATCTCTCACACTTCTGGAGGCTAGAAGTTCAAAATCAAGGTGTCAGCAGGCCTGTCCTTTGAGTCAGTAGAATTCTTCCTTGTCTCTTCATCACTTGTGGTGACCATTGGTCCTTGCCATTCTTTGGATTGTAGCTACACCAGTCCAGTCTCTGCCTCTGTTATTATAGGGCCATTCTCCAAATTTCCCTCTTCTTATAAGGACCCCAGCCATATTGAATTAGGGCCCAACCTGATAGCCTTATATTAGCTTGATCACATTCACAGATATTAGGGATTAAGATGTCAATATATCCTTTTGGAAGACATAATTCAAACCAGTCTATTAGATGAAATACTTTCCTCTCAGTTAAAAGTTTTTAGGGATCTTCATCTGCCTTGTTTTAGTTCTGTTTTTAAGGAGGTAATTTATTTTGGGAGATTTTATGCTACATTTTAAAATTAAGTTTTATTTGTCAGTAAATTATACTTACTTTTCTGTGACACTAGAGATAACACTACTTCTATTTTAGGGGAACATCCTAAAGACTTCTCTCTGAATATGTATATACATTACTTTATGTAAATGGGAGGTACATTTTGTTTTCTGTTTTAGAAGGGCTTCTTAAAAATATGTTGAGAAGATGTTTAATATGCATGGCTATCACTGTGAATCATTTTAGTGAGTATTAAAATGTATGTTTGAGCACTGATTTATTAACTAATCCCCACATGGAGATTAGGTTGTTTCCAAATTTATAACATCAGCAACACTTCAGTGAACATCTTCATAAATTATTTCTTTGGAATAAATACCTAGAACTGAAATTGTTAAGTCAAAGCATCGACAAATGTTTGATTTTCTTGCTATATTCCTCACCTATAATCAATTTTGTGTATTTGCAGTCTTCTTAGAGCTAGAAGCCAACAGATATCTCCTTTTAATTTAAATTACATTGGTAATTGAGGAATTTGGGCAGCTCTTGATATAGTTACTATTTGTAGGTTCTTCTTTTGTCAATTGCCTATTTATGACCTGTGTCTGCTGTTCCACTTGGTTGCTCAGTATACTATTATTCATTTTAAGAGCTCATTATCTGTTAAGACTCTTAACCCTTTGTCAAATACATTTCAGTTTTCCTGGGTTTTATTTGTCTTTTCCCTTAGTTTATGATAGCTTTTGTCATATACTGTAAAATATTTTTTAGTAGTAGTATAAAATCCATCTATCTCATGGTAACATTAGAAATTAAAACACAGCCGGGACCGGTTTGGCTCAATGGATAGAGCGTCGGCTTGGGGACTGAAAGGTCCCGGGTTTGATTCCGGTCAAGGGCATGTACCTTGGTTGCGGGCATAACCCCAGTGGGGGGTGTGCAAGAGGCAGCTGATCGATGACTCTCTCTCATCGATGTTTCTGACTCTCTATCTCTCTCCCTTCCTCTCTGTACAAAATCAATAAAATATATTTAAAAAAAAAAGAAATTAAAACACACACCTATTTTATCTTATTTATTATTTAATTTATTTATTATTTTATTTTATTATTTACTTTTTTTTTTTTATTACTAGTGGCCTGGTGCATGGATTCGTGCACTGGAAGGGGCCCTTGTCCTGGGCTATGGGGATGGGCTGACACTGGCTCTCTGACATCCCACGAGCGATATAGTAGTGCACAAAGCAGTAGGCAGACAGGGAGGAGCCCAAGCCTGAGCCCAGGCCAGGTGCCACACTGTTCTAGCTTATCCGAACCCCGCTGCACCTACCGCTGCCACAGTCCAGTCCAGATGGGGGAGGCTCCCTCCACCACAGCTGCACTCACCAGCCATGAGCCAGGCATCTGACGCCCATTGGTCAGCTGAGCAGTGCTCCACTGTGGGAGTGCACTGACCATCAGGGGACAGCTCCTGCATTGAGCATCTGCTCCCTGGGGGTCAGTGTGCATCATAGCTACTGATAGACCTGTCACTTAGCTTTTATATAGAGAGGTTTCATTTTATTTGTCTTAAACAAAGGAAGTTTATTTTTCTACAGTTTTGTAGGCCTGAGGTCTGAGATCAAGGTGTCAACAGGGTAGGTTTTTTTTTTCTTTTTTCTGAAGTCTCTCTCCTTGGCTTGCAGATGGCTATCTTCTCCTGTGTCTTCACATGCTCTTCCCTCTGTACATGACTATGTCCTAATCTCCACTTTTTATAAGGACATCAGTCACATTGGGTGAAGGCTCACCCTTCACACACACCTATTTTAGAGTCCCTGGTACTTCATGCTGAGTTTTTATATTGTTTGTTGTCATTTTAGGATTCTCGCATCAACACAGTTTGAACCTACTGCAGCCAGAATGGCCTTTCCCTGCTTCGATGAACCTGCCTTCAAAGCGAGTTTTTCCATCAGGATCAGAAGGGAGCCGAGGCACCTCGCCATCTCCAATATGCCCCTGGTGAGCCTCAGCTCCTCTGCGCCTTCTCACAGGAAAGCCCACTGGTTCACTGCGACTCGCGTTATCCCAACAATCCTTATTATTCAGCTCCCCGTTTCGTTTGTTTTATTGCCTGACAGATGGCTGACTTTTCTTGTTTATTTCTAACCTATGCTTTTGCTTCAAGCAAACATTTCTTTGTAGTCAGAGAAAAAATTGTCTCTAAAAACATGCAAAGTTTCAAGAAGAGTGACATTCCAGGTCATCTGTGCTTTCAGGAGGGATTCAGTCTGACGAACTCGGGTCCTTCACAAAGCACTTTCACTTCGTTTTCTCACATGACCTTTTAAAGGCATCTTAAAGAGCATGCTTTGTCAAATAGGGCCATATTTCTAGTCTGTAGTTATTTTCTATAATTTCTATATATTAACATTAACTATGTAGTTGGTAACATATGCACAAAATTGGGCCGATAGAAAAAAGGAAAAAGTAATTTTTTTTCAGAATATTACAGCACTAAAGGTTAGTAATGATAGGTAGCTCAGTTTCCTTTATTTTTTTAAAAATATATTTTATTGATTTATTTACAGAGAGGAAGGGAGAGAGATAGAGAGCTAGAAACATCGATCAGAGAGAAACATCGACCAGCTGCCTCTTGCACACCCCCTATCAGGGATGTGCCCGCAACCAATGTACATGCCCTTGCCCGGAATCGAACCTGGGACCTTTCAGTCCACAGACCAACGCTCTACCACTGAGCCAAACCAGCTTTGGCAGCTCAGTTTCCTTTAAAGCAGTGTTTCCCAAACTTCTCTCATGATGAGAATCACCTGGTGGAGTTGTTAAACTACAGATTCCTGAATCCCAGCTAAGAAGTGCTAAACTAGAAGTTTGGGGAACATATAGATAAAATTGTATACTTAACTTACTATATGTTCCAAAAAATTCTAGTTTAGCACTTCTTAGCTGGGATTCAGGAATCTGTAGTTTAACAACTCCACCAGGTGATTCTCATGATGAGAAGTTTGGGAAACATTGCTTTAAAAAAACCATTATCCTTCAAATTTCAAACACATGGTAGTGTTTCCTCTGATTTTTCTAAGTGGCCAGAAGAAATGACTGTGCCAAATGAATAGGATGCAAGGGCCCCTGTCCTATGATTCTGGTAGCTTAGAAAAAAAACATCAGCTGAGCTGTCATTCTACAACAGATGCACGCTAACTCCTGAAGCACACATTTGCCCCGAGAGGCTCACTGTGGATGAGACTCAGGGTGGACCCCTTGTCGGGAGCCCTGAAGGGTGACCCTCCTTATCCCTGTGCAACTTCTTCGCATGAAGGGACGCAGAGTGCCACAGACCAACCTCTGGGACAGTACTTCTCAACCTTTAAAACTCTGGGTCCCCTCTGAATACCCTGAAGGATCCCTTCCTCAAACAAGGTTCTGACAGGCCCCCAGAGAGGGCTGCCCCTCTGAAAAACATTTTCTGAAAAATCCCTGCCAGCCAAGAACTTCTGTCTCCCCCTCCCCACATATAAATATATGAAAAGATAAGAAAAAATTTGTCATTTTTCTAATATAAATTTGAGATAGAGACCATGCTTTTTCATAGTTCCCTTCCCCAATATGATGGTATTGCTCCCAGGGATGGGAGTGAGTTCACTAATTAGAGAATTACAGATTTAAGAGGATAAAGGAACCAGGAGAGACAGATTACACAGGTTGGTGGAGAAATTCGTAGGTTTGCAGGGGAAAGGCCAGGAGCACCCCAGGGCTTTGCGAAGATGCTAGAGTCTAAATCCAAGAACATCCAGGACCCACTTGTTGAGGATAGGAAACTCTCTAATGTAATATTGCCCTTTGGACAGGAAAGCCAAGTAGGAGTGGCCTGAATCAGGCTGCAGACTGGAGTTGGGGGGAAAGACAATGGAAACTCAAAGGATCTTTTTTGGAGGCTAGAAAAGCAAATAGTTAACCACGTTTATTAGTTTATTTAGCTTACTTTTCTAATAATTAGCACATCAGGAATGGAAATTTTGGTGAGGAGTTGGTAAAGGCATTTTAAAAAGAAAAGGTAATTTTGGGTCCTTCAAGTATAAACCTAGGTTGGCTATAAGCATCAGGGTTTGAATGACCAGAGGGTGACCAGCTGGTGGATATTAAGAAGGACCTGAGCCCAGAAATTGGGTGGAAATGAGATTAAAGGAAAATGCATATGTTAACGATGGTTTGCTCCAGGCTAGTTTGGAGGGTCCTTTCTCCAAATCCTGGCCCAGTGCTTTCTGTTGGCTGAGGTACTAGCCTTCCTTCTTTGTGGGGCAGACATCTTAGGCTGTACCTTCCTCGCTGTACCCCGCTCTGCTAGGCTGCCTTCTGAGTGCACTAAAAGGCTGATTCCAATGAAGCAAATCAGTTTGGAGGAGGTTTGCAGGGCAGGCCCAGGCATGGGTTACTTAGAAGCTCTTTGTAGGCTGTGTAATCATTACATACTTGACCAGTGTAGAAAATAAATTAAGCATTACACTTCTAGATAAGTCTCATACCGGTATTTAAGGACAAGAGGACTGTGCCTTGGCAAACCCAGAAATCTCAGTTTTGCTTTGTCCCATCCATATCTTCAATCCTCATGCATCAAATATGAAGTCAGTTTGTGGTCAACTGGGTTATTTTTAAGAAATTACGTGGTGATCGTTGCACTATGCTGGATATAATTTTGAAAACCCACTGAATTTTATACTTTAAAATTGTGAATGCTATGGTATATAAATGATACCTCAATAAAGAAGAAATTGAATAGAATGGTTTGGCCTTAATGAGGAGACAAAAGGAAGCTAGGTAGAGAGGGGAACCCATCTGGGTGGAGTTAGGAAGGTACCCCAACTGGGCGGGGAAGGAAGGGCCAATGAGAGGCATGAAATGTATGGCTGTTGCTAAGACAGGCAGCTTACAGATAACCAGTCCTAAGACTGAGGCATATAACCAACCCCAAGAATGTTATTAAGGCAGAATTCTTTGAAAAAAACAAAACAAAACAAAACAAAACAAAAAAAACAATAATCAGGTGCTAGTGAGGCTGTACCCACCCCCTAAATTCAAAAGCATGAGTTTCCTCTCACCCTCTTCCTTTTACCCAGCAGGCAATGGGTTCCTGATGTTCGTTCCTGTGGTGGGGGGTGGGGGAAAGTGATGGGGTGGGAGAGTGGTTTGGGAGGGGAGCACACATCCTGTTGCCTATGTGGCTTACAGCCATGAGCCATGTGGGCCTCCACATGTGGACTAATAGACTTTAATTCTCTTGAATGCTGAACTACTCTGGACTGCAGCATGGAAGGGAAGCTCTGGATGCTGGTCTGCTCCTGGAACCCCAGCTGTACCTTTTCCTGGACTGGCTGTTCTCAATCAACTTCAGTTCCAATAACCATTTTTGCCCATGACTTCATTTTTCAATTTCACGAGACCATGAACTTGGACTAAAAAAAACCCACATTTTGGTTTCATCGATATCTAAACTAGAATAGAATATTGGAAAAAGACATTAATTATACAAATGCCATGCCATATACTTTTAGTGGTATGTCTGGTAGAAAATTACAAAATTGGATTATTTGCTGATGTAAGTTATTCTGGTTTTAGGTTAAGTCGGAGCCTATTGCTGAAGGACTCATAGAAGACCATTTTGATGTCACTGTCAAGATGAGCACCTACCTCGTGGCCTTCATTATTTCGGACTTTAAGTCTGTCAGCAAGATGACCAAGAGCGGAGTCAAGGTGAACCTGTGATCATCACATGGGGTGACCAGCTAGTCCTGGGTCTGCCTGGGACTGTCCTGGTTTTATATCTGGAAACCCACATCCTGGGAACCCCTCAGTCAGGGGCAAACCAGGGTTGGTGATCCTCCTGTCACAGATGCTCATATTTGCAGTGAGGTTCTAATCACAAAAAACATGTAGAGAAGCTTGGCCTGGCGTGTGTCTTGGTTCCGGCTCCACCACTACCTGGCTCTCTAACCTCGGTCCACCTCCCTCCCTTTGGGACCTGGTTTATATGTCTTTAAAGTGTGTTAGTTGGACATGACCCTGCAGTGGTTTCTAAGTTGGCTTCTGGCTATAACTTTCTGCAGTTTGGAAATGAATGCCACTGGCTATCTGAGCAGGTGACTTCTGGAAGGAAGGAAGATAGAGCAGTAGGCTTGGAGTCTTTAATGGCTCTGGGGAGGGCCCTTGGGCTAGGGCCCTGGTCATCAAACTGCGGCTCACCAGCCGCTCTTTGGCACCTTGAGTGTGGCTCTTCCATAAAATACCACAGCCTGGGCGAGTCTATTTTGAAGAAGTGGTGTTAGAAGAAGTTTAAGTTTAAAAAATCTGTCTCTCAAAAGAACTTTCAATCGTTGTACTGTTGATTTTTGGCTCTGTTGACTAATGAGTTTGCCGACCCACTGGGCTAAGGAATATTGAAACACTGAAGAAAAAAGTTATCATTTCAAGGAGCACTCGCTCCTTGTCTGGAGTACCATTGGGAAGTGAACAATCCATACAACTTTTCTGTGACACTGAGTGCAAATGCGTTTTTCGGCAAGGAGCTGCAGGACACGATTTCGAGATACCGTGTTTCCCCGAAAATAAGACATCCTCCGAAAATAAGACCTAGCGCATGGAAAGATAAGACATCCCCTGAAAATAAGACCTAGCACAACTTTGGGAGAAAAAATTAATATAAGACACTGTCTTATTTTCGGGGGAACAGGGTAGCTCACTTATTTGCACTGGTTTTCACTGAGGCCTGGGTAGTTAGGGTTTCTCTGTTAATTAAATTGCCTTTTGTTCCCGTAAGGGCTTCTCCTTGTGAAAAAACCGCCACTTACCCCGGGAACTTGCAGGTGATGCTGAGACTTGGATGTAGGGAGCAATTCAGTTCAGCAGGGAATCTATCAACAAAAACACCCACTCATTGATTTGCCCTCTTTTGTGAATTATTTGTGAATCTTTTTATAAGGTCTCTTCCCTACTGTGATACTGTGGTTTATACTAAGAAATTCATCTTCCTCCTGATTCTGGCAATGAACTGCGAAAACCTTTGTGTTTCCTAAGCTAAGGGAGTGATAAAGGTGTTTCTTGTTTTGCTAATGAGGTGACCTTTGGAAAGCCCCTAGGTTGGGGGCTGGCTGCCAGGAATCCACCAGGTGATTGGAGGGTTGGAACTGCAATCCCCTCCCCTGACCTTGCTGGAGATTGAGTTCCAGCTCCAACAGAGGATGATTTAATCAGCCCTGCCTGAGTCTGAGCCTCCACCCAAAACCACCCGACGAGGTCAGAGAGCTTCCAGGTTGGATGTGCTGGGAGGGCAGTGTGCTAGGAGGGGGCACTGAACTCAGTACCCTTCTCCTGTACCTTGGCCTTACCCACCTTGTCTATGTGACTGTTCCTGGGTTATATCCTTCTACAGTGAGCCAGGAATCTAGTAAGTCAACTTCTGGTTTGTGAACCGCTCTAGCAAATTAGGCAAGCCCAAGGAGTGGATGTTGAAACCTCCAATTCATATCCGCTAGTCAGAGGCGGAGCTCACAACCTGGACTTTGGACTGGCATCTGAGGTGAGAGTTGGGGGCAGTCATGGAGGGCTGAGCCCTTAAACTGTGAATCGGATGCTATCTCTAGTGTTAGAATTGAATTACATTGTAGGACACCCAGCTGGTTTTGGAGAATTGCTTGGTAATGTGGGGGAAACTCCCGTAAACCCTCCTGCAACTCCCCACACCCCTCCACAATGGAACTGGGTCCCAGAATCCCTTTTACATACTAATATTTTTAGTCCTTGTATTTCTTTAAACGCATTAAACACATGGTTTATACTCTCTGTGTAGTAATTGTCATGGGTAGAGTCTTTGTGTATCCGGTTCTGTGGTTTATGGTTTTTGCTGTCTCTTGCTCATGGTGTCTTGTTCCTTGTATATATTGTGGATTATGTTTGTGAGCTTGTATGACCTGTGTCAGAGGTGGATTCTTCCAGAGAGAATTTGGGTTTGCTCTTGTCGGGTGACTGGAAGAACTTTGGACGGCACTTTAAATTGAATTACTGGCTTTGGGTTTTTGGACCATCTGCTTATTGTGAATCGTAACTGTTAAACAGCATGAAGGTTAGCTTTTGGTTCAGATTCTCCATATAGTAGCAAAGATTGAAAACCACCTTTTTTCAATGCACTCGTTTGAGGAAGAGGGTGGTTATTTCTGGTTTGCTTACAGCAGTGTTTCCCAAACTTTTGACCCTTCTATAATTTTCGTAACGCTGAGTACCCCTCGTACTCATGAGAACGTGGAATTAGGCACAGCTAAGCACGGTGCAGTGCATATCCCCACCAAACTCCGGTGCAACACGTACCCCCACCAAACTCTTCCCGTACCCCTGGGGGTACGCGTACCACACTTTAGGAAACACTGGCTTACAGTAAGGCAGTGTTTCCCAACCTTCTCTCATGATGAGACTCACCTGGTGGAGTTGTTAAAACACAGATTCCTGAATCCCAACTAAGAAGTGCTAAACTAGAATTTTTGAGAACATATAGGTAAAATTGCATACCTAACTTAATGCTCTGTATATAAAATCTGTCTTAGAGCACTAGTTAAGTATACAATTTTACCTATATGTTCCCAAAAATTCTAGTTTAGCACTTCTTAGTTGGGATTCAGGAATCTGTGTTTTAACAACTCCACCAGGTGATTCTCATCACTGCAGTAAGGGCATGTCTTTTTGTTCAGGTGCGTTTCCTGTTATTCTGACCATCTTAAACAGGCTTTGAACTTTGTCTCCTATCCCCTGAGTCTTTCAATACCGCGAAAACAAAAGCTCTGTATTGAGCTAGTGTATAGGGCAAAAGCTGGCAGCATTGTTCTGATTTCTGAGGCTCTTCCTGTCACTTCACTTCTGGCCTCTAAGTTGTCTTTATCACTGTTGAATGAAAACACTTAAAGAGACCTTCTTGTGTACCGTATTTTCCGGTGTATAAGATGACCCCCTAATTTTACAGTTAAAACATAGGTTTAAGCCTTTATTCGCTGTATAAGACTACCCCCCACTTCAAAGAAAAGACTTACTTTGCCGTCAAGATCTGCAGGTAATTTTTGTGCAATTTTGGTCTTTTGCCCCCGATTTTTGGTTGACTTTTTTTTTGTTTCAAAAGTCGTCTTATACGCCGGAAATACGGTATGTTATCCAGCATTTGTAGCTGATTTCCGAAGGGGAGTAGATCAGGAACAGTCAGCATCAATACAAGAAATAGAACTTCCAGTTGCCTTCTTTGATATTGGCAACCCTGTTCTCAATATGAAGCTGGTAAACAGGCAGTTGTGGAGAGCAGCCATGATGGCGTTTGAGTAAAGTCCGTATGCCTTTCTCTTCAGGTGTCCGTGTATGCCGTGCCAGACAAGATCAATCAGGCAGACTATGCACTGGATGCTGCAGTGACTCTTCTGGAATTTTATGAGGATTATTTTAGCATTCCGTATCCCTTACCCAAACAAGGTAGAGATTTGGCACAGATATTACACATTGTGGCATTTATTGAACCCAGCCATCGATTATATCCCCCTAATTAGCATCCCCGTGGTTATTGCACCAGTCCCTCAAGTCTTTAAAACCCTGGCAGGTGTCAACCGTAGGGTTGATCCTCCTCACCCCTGATCTGTTCAGTAAACTAGTAATAGTAAAAGCAGGTCTTGATACAGTCCCTGAGGCACATGGCATGGAAATAATTTTGCCTTGGGACTTCAAAGAGAAACTCAACATTGTCTGTGGGCAGACAGCAAAATGCAAATGCCGCACTTTTCCCATTATTCCCACACACTTGCATAAGATGCTAAAATGAATAATTTTTGAATGAATGAATGAATTTACACAGTGGAAGAAAATTAGCATTTTCTTATAAGACCCCTTAAAATTATTTTGTGTTTGAGGTTTTTAGGTGTATGGAGGTCTTGGGAATTCAAAGTAGAGTGGATTATTGAGTCAGTTGTTAACATTATTCAATCCTAAACTCCTTGTCAGAGAGTTAGAAATGGAGTCAGGAGGCCTGAGACCCGAGTCTGACTTTCTCACAGGGTAGCTCAGTGACTCTGAATGAGTCACCAGGCGCCTTTCCTCCACTGTGAAAGCTGCTTCCAGTCTAGAACTCCCATGAGTCCACACGGGCAGCTTAGCCTTTCTTTTGATTACTATATTCACCTATTCTGAAAGGTAGGGTGTTTGGTAATTGTGTAGCTTTTAAGTATATTTTTATTGCTTCCACCCCAAGATCTTGCTGCTATTCCTGACTTTCAGTCTGGTGCTATGGAAAACTGGGGACTGACAACATATCGGGAATCTTCTCTCTTGTTTGATGTGGAAAAGGCTTCTGCATCAAGCAAGCTTGGCATCACAATGACCGTGTCCCATGAGCTCGCCCACCAGGTACGGAAGCCCACTCACACTTTTTACACAGTGGAGACTGTCTAAATTGCTTCACAGGACATATGAGGCTGTTCGTATCGTGCAGGGACAATGTCTACTTTGCCTTTTTTTTTCCTGTAAGAAAAGTGATTTCTTTAAAGCATTAGATAGCATGTTTTATAATGCACATTAAGATGTTTTTCTTTTGATAAAATATGAGTTCTATGACTACGTTAACATCCATCTAACGGACATTACACATGTAAAATATATTTCCTTTTAAGGCTTTATATTTATGGCTGTGTAGATAAACCAGTCTCCATAGAAATGTGTGAATAATCTGGGGAATGTTTTCCTTCCAGTGGTTTGGGAACCTGGTCACTATGGAATGGTGGAATGATCTATGGCTCAATGAGGGATTTGCCAAGTTTATGGAGTTTGTGTCTGTCAGTGTGACTCATCCAGAACTGAAAGTTGTAAGAAGCATTTACTTATTATTTTTTTACATTTTAGGTTAATCTGTTGTTTTGTTCAGTGTTTCCGGAAAATATTTACTGAGCTTTGATGACAGAATTCATAGGTTAATAGCTTCTTTGGGAGTTTATATAGATTCATGTTCCCAAAATGCTTGTGAACTTTGAAGATATATATCACAAATGCTTATTTCCAAATAAATTATGAACCTAGGATGGTTGTAAAAATTATACTAAATTTTGTCCTCCTCTAATATCAGAGAACTAGAAATAATGAAAGCCTATCAGTTCTGTATAATTTCTCCAACCATCAGTTTTCTCACTGAAGTATTAGCTACAGATTGCTATTTCAGTAGAATTCTACTTGCCAAATCAAATAAATTGTTTAAGGTAACTGCATACTTGATTATATGTGAACCTAGATTAGTAGGTCACAGATTTATTGCTTTGGAACCTCTATATATTATTTTAAAAGACATGTGTTTAACTTGAGAAAATCACATGCAGTAAAACTTTTAAAAAACTATGTAAACTTTATGTAAAAAAATTATTTATTCTTCTATTGTATAATGATTTCAATGGTTCATATTCATCTCCTTATATACATAGTTATAATTACTACACTATAATAGATCATAAATGTTTGTGTTTCCACATAATCTTTAAAAATGATTAGGTAGGCATATTATTCTATTGGTTAATAGGCCTTAATAATCAAGTTATAGTTGGAATTTGTCCTCTTCCATTTTTCTTTTGCTACATGCGTTTAAAGCTAAATTTCTTTGCTTTAAAATAATATAGGCTGATTGGAAATTTTGAAATTATTATACGTTTTAGTTTCTTGTTTTGTTTTATTTTGTTGTTTGTTTTTTACTAAAGGCATAATGGTTTGTTTTTAAGTTAATATGAACTTTTCTTTATTCTAAAGTGATAAGTAAATATTTAAGATGAGGGAAATGTAAAATGTTTACCTAAAATCATTGTTTCTTAGATGCTCTTTAGAAGATAGTAGTTCTATTTTATTTTGTAAATTCTAGAAATACAGATTATATTGGACCAAAAATTTGAAGTATAAATCTGTTGCCCCAGATCAAGCTATCCTCCCTTTATACTTTTCATCTACATGTAAATCATAACTGATGTGTCTGTATTCTGTCTCATTAGGAAGATTATTTTCTTGGCAAGTGTTTTGATGCAATGGAGGTAGACGCATTGAATTCCTCACACCCTGTGTCCACACCCGTGGAGAATCCCGCTCAGATTCGGGAGATGTTTGATGAGGTTTCTTATGATAAGGTAAAAATGGACTATAATGGACTTAGGCAGTTTGAATACTAAAATTTATAAATACTGGGGTGGAGAGGTTATAGCTAGGGTTGTGGGGTGACTGTTCTTTCATAAGGAGCAATCTGGATTGACTGCCTTCTGTTCTGAACTGAGCTGGCTGGAGTTCACCCGTTTAAGTCTAACTTGCAATTTGTCTCATAATCCTAAAGGTTACTTTTTGGTAAATACTTTATTTACTCTGTTGTAAGTTGAAAATTCATGGCTTACCAAAACTCTTCCTTTTATTTATTGCTAGAGGCCCAGTGCATGGATTCGTGTACTGGTGGGGTCCCTTGGCCTGGCTTGTGGGGATCAGGCCAAAACCAGCTCTCTGACATCCCCCAAGGGGTCCCAGATTGTGTGAGGGTACAGGTCAGGCCAAGGGACACCACTGGCGCATGATCAGGGATGGGGAGGGTCCGCAGGAGGGTTCCAGGGTGTGTCCAGCTCCTCTTGTCCAGTCCCTGTTGGCCGGACCCCAGCAGTAAGCTAACCTATCGGTCGGAGCTTCTGCCCCCTGGTGGTCAGAACATGTCATAGCTATCAGTCGAATGGTCAAATAGTCGCTTAGGCTTTTATATACGTAGATTCAACAAATAGGTCTCAATTAAGCATTGTCTTTGTTCCAGGCAAAAATTCTTGCCCTTGTGTAGCCTAACATTCGATGCCTTTAGGAATGGTGTACATTGTTGAACTGCAAATTATTGTCCAACACAACATGTTTAATAACAGAATTGGAAATAGTTTCCAACATTCAATAATTGGGAGATTTTACATAAAACTCCAGATTTATGGCTTCTCTTGGGGGAGTAGGGGAGGCTTCTGGTCACATGGGGCCTGTTTTTTTTTCCCTTGGCAACATAGGCTGCAGCTAAGTGATGGCTTCTTTATGAGGTCAGATTTCTGCTTTTCCATTTTCCTTTCCAGTGTCACCATTTCTTTTGTCTTCTCACTAAGGTGGAAAATGTGTCGTTTATCATTGTGCTTGGCTGGTGTTTTGTTTGTTGCAAACAAAAAAGTATTTCTTGCTTGGATGTTTTTGTAATAGTGCAGGGGAGATAAAAACAACACAAAAACAGGTATAAATAAACACATAGATCAATAGAACTGAATAGAAAGTCCAGAAATAAAGTACACATAAGTGGTCAATTTACTGTAAAGGAGCCAAGAATATACCTTTGGAAAAGGACAGTCTCTTTAATAAATGGTGTTGGGAAAACCGGGTCCCTAGGAGTTTGACTGTTTGCTAAGATGTGCGCTGACCACCAGGGGGTGGCACAGAATGAAGGAGGGTCCCAGCCAGTATCCGACAGCTGGCAGCTTGGGGAAGAAGGGCTCCAACCAGCCCTGATTGCCAGCCAGGCCCAGGGACCCTACCTGTGCACGAATTTCATGCACTGGGCCTATAGTATATCAAGAAAATAAGTACCAGTCCTGTAGGCAGGGATATACACTTCATGTAGATATTCAGGGATCCAGGCTTTGCCTATTTTGTGACCTCCAACTTTTCCTAGAGCCAAAGGGAGAGGGAGACTACCTCTACCTTAAAGGGACCTAGGAAATTCTTCCAGAAAGGGACACTTTTAGAAAAATTATTCCAAAATAAAGTGTGATGGTGGATTAGATTGAGGAAGTATAGTTAACATTTATTTATACTGTGTTTTTTTGTGTGTGTTTTTTTCAGGGATCTTGTATTCTGAATATGCTTAGAGATTATATTAGTGCCGATACATTTAAACGTGGTATTGTACATTATCTCCAGACGTATAGTTATAAAAACACAAAAAACGAGGACCTGTGGAACAGTATGGCAAGCGTGAGTATGTTTCTGTGTATCTCTGCATTTGGGATTGACAGGTTTATTATCATTTTGGGTATTTTTGTTGTTGTTATGGTTTTGTTGTTTTGTTTTGTTTTTCAATCATATTAATCCCTCTGAGAAGAATCATGAAGGTTTTCTACAGGCCTGCCTGAGAGTGACGTGTATATTTTCGGTTTTTAGATTTGCCCTACAGACGGCTCACAAAGGATGGAGGGCTTTTGCTCTCGGGGTCAACCTTCATCTTCATCCTCAGTAAGTTTTTACATCTGTTCACGGTGCCCCTCCTCGCATTCTTTCCCACCACAGCCTTTGAAGGTTGGCTCTGTGCCAAATTCTCTGAGGCCCTAGATTCTATCACCCTCGCTCTTGATAAGACTGCGTTTAAACCATACCAGACTGACAGCCTTTTACCATTTTTAAAACGTTATCTACACCAGGGAGTCGCACAGCCTCCTTTGGTAACGCGTCTCACCGATACTAATTTCTTCAGCTTCGCTCTCGGTAAGGCAGTGGATTTCTGACAGGTTTCTGTGAGAGTTAGGGCTTTATCAGTCAGGCTGTGTCGATCATTTCCAGAGCTCCTCATCTGGAAGGAAACATGATGGCAGCGAGCATTCCTGAGCACTTACTCCGCATCAGACACGTGCTATGCGCTTATGTGCATTATCGCCTTTCCTCTTCATAGTCAGCCCGTGAGCGGGGCACCATTATCTCTATTTTTACAGATGTGAATATGACATCCAAAGGCATGTGGTTAGTAAATTACAGGGCTGGGATGTGAATTTAGTTCCAACTTGTGTTTTTAACCAATAAGCTATAAAGAATTAAAAAAAAAAATCTGAATCACAGAACAGTCTACATATCTGCTGATCTGGACTTATGGACTATTTTCCTAGGCAGCTATGGGTTAGTCTGGAGATTTTTAACAGAATTCCATCCATCATATTTTTATGTTCTTGGCTTGTTTGTTTTTAGAGGCAGCTTTCTCCAGAAGTTTGTAGGTTAGTTCTATAGCCTGTTTTATCCTTTTACTAACTTTTAAATATTTCCTAAAAGCTTTTCTTAGTATCAAAGAAAATATCCTCTTGTGAGCTCATGACTGCTGTGGAGTGTGGGCCATCTGGGTGTTACCGCTTTGGGCGTTGGCCACTTTCCCTTCTCTGCTTCCATTCATTCATGCGTGCACTTGCCTACTTTGTGCCCAGTGCCACGCCCAAGGTATGCCCAGTAGAACCAGATATGGTACCGGTTCTCAAGACACACATGTTTACAGAAAGAGAACGAGAAGTAACTGTCAGTGCTTTCATGGACCACGTGCTGTGGTTGGAGACAGCGGGGATGGGAGCAGGGCAGGGGCTGGGAGCAAAGGAGGGATGAGAAGGAGCTTCACAGGGGAGGTGGCCCCTGACAGCAGCCCCGTCTGTGAGCAAAAGCTCGGCTCTGCCTTTTCTTAGTTGGGTCTAAGTGGGTCACGCGTCTGTGTGTTTCTGTATAAACCAGCACTGGCAACAGGAAGGCCTTGATGTGAAAACCATGATGAACACCTGGACGCTGCAGAAGGGCTTTCCCCTGATCACCGTCACCATGAAGGGGAGGAATGTCCACCTGAAGCAAGAGCACTACATGAAAGGCTCTGAGGGCAGCCCGGAATCTGGGTAAGGGGCCCTGAGGAAAACTCATTTGGTTGCTTCGGTAACATCTGCCTTCCAGGATAAAACCTTATTTTTGAAATGGTGCCCTTACCTTTATTGCTAAAATGTTTCAATCAAATCTGCATGTCCTATGAAGTTGACTTATACACCACCATCTCCCCAGGAGAATGGAGATTGCTCTAAACCTTGGTTCATCTCGGTGAAGCTGATGATGTATAATTATCATGTTTTGTATTGTACTTTGATGGGATGCAGATGTCCAGTAATTGGCTTGTAATAAGCTCTGATCTAAGTAACTGTCACTAAATTACAACAGTGCCTGGAAATTACAATTTCTGGGAATTAGGGAGAGACTCAATTCTTTTCTTTGGGAAGTTTGAGTTGGATCCTGGAACTTGGTTTGCCAGATTGACAGGACAGAGGACATCACTGGAAATGACACATTGCAGCTTGACTGGCTCTAGATGGACACTATTTTAAAAAGGTTTTGTTTCAAAGTAATTTTACACTTAATAGAGAAGTTGTAAGAAGAGTGCAAAAAATTTTCATATATTTTTAACCCTGATATATGTTAACTTCTTACCACATTTCTCTAAGTAAAGATATGCTTTCTCTATATATCTCTCTCTCTCCATATATGCCATATATATGTGTGATTTTATATGTATGGCTTTCCCCTGTTTGAGAGTAATTTGGAGACATGATAATCCTTTACCTCAAAATCCTTTAGTGTGGTATTTTTTAAAAGACAAGAACATTCATGTATATAACTATAATACAGTTATCAAAATTATGAAATAAATTTGATGCAATGTTATTATCTAATTATTAACTTAAACCTATTTAAGTTTTTCCAACTGTCCTAGTAATAATGTCTTTGTAGCAAAAGAAAAAAATATTCTGATTCAGGTAGAATTCAGTATTAGGGTAACATTGTGTTAATTGCCACATTTCTTTAGTCCTTTTTCTCTGAAATTGCTCCTCAGTCTTTGTCTTTTTTGACCTTGCCATTTTTTAAGAGTACAGGCCAGTTATGTTATGGAATATCCACCAGCTTGGTTTTCTGCTGTTTCTTCATGATCAAATTCAGGTTATGCATCATTAGTAGGAATTCCATAGAAGCGATGTGTTCTTAGTGTATCATTTAGGAGGCACATGATGTCAATTTGTGCCATTACTAGTGGTCACGGTTCTTAAGTTCGGCTCGTGAACTCCCAGCCAATCACTAAAGGCTATCAGGGCTCGCTTGAGCCCAAATTCTTAACTATTTAAGGAGCCTGAGAAGGGTGAATAGTGCCTGGAAAACAAGATAGAGGAGTGTTTTAATCTCTTGTCTGTAGCATCTTTGGTACCATTCTTTCTTAAACTAGCCAGTGCCTGGCACATGATACGTGATTTAATAACTGCTTGATCAGTTGAATCAACAAATGAGCAATTCATCCTCCTTTCTTTTAGGTACCTGTGGCACGTTCCATTGACGTTCATCACCAGCAAATCAGAATCGGCCCAGAAATTTTTGCTGAAGACAAAAACAGGTAATTTGTTGGGGGGGGGTAACTAGGTTAATGCAAGAAGGAATTATAGAAATGTGCAGGATTTAGATACCGCCTTTCTTTGGCTATTTATCTTGGTTAAAATGAAAAGGACCAGGCCCACCTTTATCTTTAGCAGATCCCTGGCTTTCATTTTCTAGTGAAGACTATAGGTTGAAAATCCTATCTGGTTGGGGGGGGAAAAAAAAAAAGCCAGTATCTTGCCAGATAGAGATTAAAACAGTTGATTTATGTAATGATAAAGAGAAGGGATTATGAGTGAAAAAACCCCCATTATTTTGTTAACATTGCTGGGTTATATCGTATGTATGGCCTGAAACGTGGCTGCATTCTTCTCATAGATCTATAAATCTCACGAAATCGGTGCCTAAAACTAGTGTTGGCTTTTGTCGATGGAGATGCTGTTTTTTGGTTTCTAAAAGAAACTTGTTCAATATGCAACTCATTTTCAGTATTAAACTTGCCTGTAGTTTCGTGGTCTAGTCTCTGATCAGAAAAGCTTTCATCCGTCAAGAGAGAACATAGAGCTATGATTTATTTTATTTGCTCTAGATGTGCTCATCCTCCCAGAAGAGGTGGAATGGATCAAATTTAACGTGGGAATGAATGGCTATTACATTGTGCATTATGAGGATGATGGATGGGATTCTTTGACGGGCCTTTTACAAGGAACCCACACAGCAGTCAGCAGTAATGATCGGGCCAGTCTCATTAACAATGCATTTCAGCTTGTCAGGTAACACACACTCCTCAGAGTCTTGGCTTATATCTGAAAGCAGCTGTTATCACTCAAATTCTTGATTTCTAAAGATGGAAATGATTGATTGCTAATAAGTTGGAGGGTGTTTTCCCCTAAGTTCTTCTAACAATCCAAGGTTGCTTGTAGCTGTATGGTTAACCTCCTGTCTGTGTCTGCTGAGTCAGGTAAAGGAAGGCATCTGTATTTTAACCTTTTTCATTAACAAGTATGATCACATGGAGGCAAAAGTGTAGAAAATCAGGAGACTTTCTCCCTGGAGAAGCTACTTAGCTGGTTTCTAAAGAGTTTTCCTGTGGCTTTCTCTGGCTCTGGCCCTGCTTTAGCAGATCTGGTTCCTCCCCTTGTTGGGTTAAAGGGGTTTCCATCCACCCCTGCCCACACTCGGATTCCTGAACTTCACAGCCTCTTAATGGAATACAGCTCATAAAATATTGCCCAAACAAATGAACTTTGAGCTGTTGAGTGTTTACTCAGATTTTTTGCCCCACGACAAAGGTTATTAAGGAAAGAGTCTGCAAGACAAAAACTTACACTTCCTCAGTATTTAGGCAGAACAGAGGTCCTAAGGGGAATCACTCAGGTAGAAAGGAATAATTTGTAGTTCTCCTCATACTCCATGTCCTCTGCTCTAAATGTTAAGTTCTTCCTCATCGGGGCCTCTTGGGGCGAAAAGTAGCAAAGGGGGATAAATATATACCCAGCTGTTTCCTCACGCCTACAAATATTCCCCTCTGTAGCATACTGCTGCTTAAATCTTAGAGGATGTTGTATTTATGAGCATATACCTTACCTCTGAGACTTTTAGCATCAACCCTCTATAACGCAGGGTTTTTATCCATATTCAGTTCTGTTGGAATGGAGAAGAGGATGTGCTGACCCCAGAGACTTATAGTGTCAGCTGAGTGGCAGTCTCTCCAATTAGGCTTCCTGAAGGATCTGTGATCAAAATCCCAACCAAAGATCAGCACACAGTCCAACGTTGCGTAGAGGAGCAGACCCTGCCCTGCTTTGTGTCTGAACCACTTTAGCCCTAGCTCTGTTGTGTTTGAGCAACTCCCTTCACCATGCAAACATGTCAATGTTGTGTTATTTATGATAGAAAAGATACTAATAGATCCTTATTTATGAGGGGTGTTAATAACTTGTTGAATTTTTTGCTGGTAGATTGTTAAAATATTTTTTGAGACAAAAAGTTGATTTCCTAAGTTTTCTTTTAAACCTCTCACCATGGTGTCTCCCGACCAGCATTGGAAAGCTACCGATCGAAAAAGCCTTGGATTTAACCCTGTACTTGAAACATGAAACAGAAATCATGCCTGTGTTCCAAGGTTTGAATGAGCTGATACCTATGTATAAGTTAATGGAGAAAAGAGATATGAATGAAGTGGAAATTCAATTCAAGGTAAAAACCTCAAATAAACTGAGAGGCTACTTAAGTGGTTTGCTTTTATATGGTTGTGCAAGAATTCTTACTGTTGTGTGTGTGTAAATATTATATGTACATATATATATATCAGTATATATAAAAGTAAATAAAAATTAACTCAGTATTTGGATTGACTAGCAAAGATATTTGGTTTTATTTTAGTATTGAAAGTAGACATGGAACTATGAGACTCTGTACTTAATTTTCATGGATTTTTTATTTCCTTCCTTTTGTAAACCTTTTAATTTATTTTACTTCTGTATTATGATGGTTGCTATTAAGATTCTTTGGGACTCAGGTACTTGAAGAAGTACAAAGTTATTTTTTGGCAAAAGGTCATGAAGTACCATTGTAAAATTTGCCTTCAAAATGTAGTCATATAAACTCTTAGTTTATTTTTTAAAAGTGGCAATTTATCTTGATTTTAAGTAGATAAACATATTTATGAAAGATTGTTAAGCAAATACTAAAATAGTTCATAATTTCTTGTGTCTGACAACTTTTATAATGAAACTGGTGCACGAATTTGTGCATAGGTGGGGTCCGACCAGACTAGGAGGAGACACAGTGGTTGGCCATCTGGCCCTGTCCCCTGGTCAAACTCCCAGTTGAGGGGACAATTTGCATATTCGCCTTTTATTATATAAACAGAACTGCATGGTTTTAGAAATAAGAGTTGTTATTACACTTTGTAAAATATCCCCCTCGCCTGAGCGTACTGGATTACATAAAACATGCGGTAATCTGGGACTGTACTGCTGACACTGTGGCTTTCCCTCAGGGCTTTCTCATCAGGCTGCTGAGGGGCCTCATTGACAAGCAGACCTGGACTGACGAGGGCTCTGTCTCAGAGCGAATGCTGCGGAGCCAGCTCCTCCTCCTCGCCTGTGTACGCAAGTATCAGCCCTGCGTGCAGAGGGCAGAAGGCTACTTCAGAGCATGGAAGGAATCTGATGGAGACTTAAGGTGCGTCCTTAGCAAACAGCTAGTTCGTTCATGAAAAGGGGTGCCTTTTCTATTTTCCATCATTGCTGCTACATGTTCGGAGCAAAACCAACTACAAAAAGTCTCCCTGGCCTTCCTTTTTAGGAAAATAAATTACTTTTTAAGATGTATCTGTGTATCTCTCAACTTGCAGTAATGCTAGGAGGGAAGTTCTATGCACAAAAGTCAAATATACGGAGAGTTAGAAGGGGATTAGAATAGTTCCCACTTTATGTGGCCAAGGGTACAAAACCTACCAGAACCGAGACAGCTGCACTGGCAGAAACAGAGGCGATGCCTCACAGTAGTTTCTTTGTGTTTCCAAAGTCCCTGACAGGAGGCGCATAGTAGTTGCTAATGCTACCTAAGTACAGTTATTCCTCTATTTTGAAAATTAATTCTCACTATACTTAGGTATATCTGGGTCTTAAATCCCATCTGGGAAACATTAAGCCCATAGTAAACATGCTTCCATTGAAAGACATGCTTCTAAGTGGTGGTCCCATTGGATTCCTAATGTTTGTTCATGGATTACATCTTGAGTCTAGTTTGAAACTCTTTCTTTTGGCTTGAAGAGTGACCTCCTATTGGGAGTCACCCAGTGTCATTAAAGTGTGCTAGACACATAGGTGTTTGTGAAAGTGGCATTTCATGTTCACATTTTCGAGAAGACTACTCACAACTGAATTTTAGATATTTTCTCTTTGCCTCTTTCAAAAAATTTAATTGAAGGAAAGGTTATTTTTGTTTAGATATCCAGGCTTGCATCTCTGATCATGAGGCCATTTATCAGTTCATAACTAGTCACCATTTTGCATCTCCACACAGTTCCTACAACTCTGACTCTTGCCCATGTGCTCTTTCCCAAAGGCTGCCCAATGATGTGACGATGGCAGTGTTTGCTGTGGGGGCCCAGACCACTGAAGGATGGGATTTTCTGTATCGTAAATATCAGTCTTCTCTGTCCAGTACCGAGAAAAACCAAATTGAATTTGCCCTCTGTATTAGCCAAAACAAGGAAAAACTCCAGTGGTGAGTAATTCATTCATGTTCATGTATGAACAAAGGAATTTAGATCAGATCCTTCTCGCATCTATTTTTGTTCTTTTGAGCAGGAATTGCCTGTTCTGCTGGAAACATTTATATTAGTGGGGAGACAGCTAACGGGTATCATATATATATATATATATATATATATATATATATATATATATATATCTATATATATAAAAGCCTAAGTGACTGTTAAGACCAACTAAATGGGACAACTGGTTGACCAGTCGCAATGACGTGCACTGACCACCAGGAGGCAGATGCTCACTACAGGAGGTGCCCCCTGATGGTCAGTGCACTTCCACAGCCAACCTCCCACAGCCGGCTGGCAGCGTCAGTGTCTGGCATCCGTTTTTTTCATGCCCAGCCCAGTGACTGTCGCCTCCTCTCCTGACTGTGTCAGGGCCTTAGGCCCTGGGCTGGGATGGGGAAATGGGGATGGGTGGTGGTGGATACAGCCCCTTTCTCAGGAGGGCCAAGGGCTGTCTCCCTCCTTGGGGCTGGCAGTCAACCTCTCATGTCCTCTCTACCCACCCTTTGCCCCACACCCCAGATGGTAGGCCCCAATTGGCCTGCTGCCCACCCACCAATAGTGGTGGTGCAGCAGTGAGGGAAGGAGGAGTGGGGGAGGTTGGGAACCATGCAGTAGTAGGTCACTGGTGTCTGTTTCTTCTGCAGCCGGCCCGGTGACCATCACCTCCTTTTCCAACCCCGCTGAGACTTTTGGGCCCCAGGCTAGGATGAGTAACTGGGGGAGGGGGGACAAGGCCCCTTTTCTAGTGGAGCTGAGGGCTAGCTCCCTACGTGGGGCTGGCAGTGAACCTCCTGCACCGGCCAACCTCCTGTGCCCTGTTCTTCACCCCTGGCTGGCAGGCCCCGATTGGCCCATGCTCCCTCTCCTTGTCCCTCCTCTCCAGCCAGCAGGCCCTGATTGGCCCTTATAGAGGGCTAGGCCTAGGGACCCAGCCCATGCACAAATTCATACACTGAGCCTCTAGTGGTAAATAATTAGGGAGAAGCAGGTGTCATGAAAAATATTTAAAGAAGCATATATTTGTGTATCTTTAAAATAACAAATTTAGAAACATATACTTTCTTAGCTCCTTTTATGAGAAAATGAGAGCATATGTGGGAATGTGTATTGTGAATACTGTGTGTTAGTTTTATTGTTATACTAGAGGCCTGGTGCACAAAATTCGTGCATGGGGGGGGAGGGGAATGTCCCTCAGCCCAGCCTGCACCCTCTCCAATCTGGGATTGGGCCTAAATGAGCAGTCAGAAATCCCTCTCACAATCCGGGACTGCTGGCTCCCAATTGCTCGTCTGCCTGCCTTCCTGATTGCTCCTAACCACTTCTGCCTGCCAGTCTGATCACCCACTAACCACTCCCCTGCCAGCTTGATTGATGTCTAACTGCTCCCCTGCCAGCCTATTTACCCCTAACTTAACTCCTATGCTGGCCTGGTCACCCCTAACTGCCCTCCCCTTCAGGGTTTTTCACCCCAACTGCCCTCCCTTGCAGGCCTGGTCCCTCCCAACTGCCCTCTCTTGCTGGCCATCTTGTGGTGGCCATCTTGTGTCCACATGGGGGCAGCCATCTTGTGTGTTGGAGTGATGGTCAATCAGCATATTATTCTTTTATTAGATAGGATAGAGGCCTGGTACACAGGTGGGGGCCAGCTGGTTTGCCCTGAAGGGTATCCCGGCTCAGGTTGAGGACCGCTTGGGGTGTGGAGTGGCCTGGGCGAGGGGCATGTTGTGGAAAAGGCCAGCCATTCCCCCAGCGACCCAAGCAGATTCCCTGATATCTGGAATTTATTTATCTTCTACAATTGAAACTTTGTAGCCTGGAGCAGAGCCAAGCCTCATGCTCTCTCCGTGGCAGCAGCCATTTTTGTTGGAATTTATGTATCTTCTATAATTGAAACTTTGTAGCCTGGAGTGGAAGCCTTGGCCGGCCAGGGTGTGCGGAAAGCTTGGCTTCCTCCATTGCCAGGGAAACCCAAGCCTCCCTCCTGCTCTCTGTGGTTGCAGCCATCTTGGTTTGGGTTAATTTGCATACTATCACTGATTGGCTTGTGGGCGTGGCTGGTGGGTTTAGTGGAGTGATGGTTAATTTGCATTTTACTCTTTCATTAGATAGAATAGCTATAGCAAGTTTACCAGGGCTCTGGTTAACCATCTTTTCACTCTTTGTTATTGACAGGCTGGCTTTAAATTATTTTATGGAATAACTTTCTCATAACTTTTCCAGGGCATATTCATTGCTAGCATTTTTCCCTCTTAATTATTCTAGGTTACTAGACCAAAGTTTTAAGGGAGATGTAATAAAAACTCAAGAGTTTCCAGCTATTCTTCGCTCTGTTGGCAGAAACCCAGTGGGATATCCACTGGCCTGGCAGTTTCTGAAGGACAATTGGAATAAACTTATACAAAAGTAAGTAGTGCCAAAGATTGTGCTGTCCCTGGGGAAGTTCCTCAACATGGCTATTTTTCTTTAAAAAATTTGTTTGTAAAACAACAGTGATCATCCAAAGGGGTTTTTTGACTGAAGCTAGAAAGTAGAGGTCCTTATAATATCCTTAGACAATATAAAACTCTTACTTCATTGCTAGCCCATGAATCTGGAAAACCTGACTAGGTTTTCTGTTCCACCTGGAATAATCCCTCCCCGCACCCACTGACCTATTAGAAGTCTCCTGCTCAGCACCTTTGCTGATTTGCATCTGTCCTTGTCTAACTTGTGTAGCATCATTACCTCTATCATTTTCTCCTGGGTACTTCATCTTTTATTCACCTAGATTTTGCAACTAGATCTTAATCCATTGGAGGGCAGGGATCATGTCCATGTTTTCCATGCCTAACCAGTTTTTACTTAAGTGCTATAATAAAAGGGGCACGTAGAAATATATGTTGAGAGAATGAATATTTCACAATGTAACATGACAGTTTCCATTTCTAGGTTTGACCTTGGCTCTCCTTCCATAGCCTACATGGTGATGGGAACAACAAATCAGTTCTCCACAAGAGCACGGCTTGAAGAGGTAAAAAAAAAAAAAAAAAAAAAAAAAAAAAAATATATATATATATATATATATATATATATATATATATATATATATATATATAGCTTAAGTGACAACTAGCTAATAAGTATGGGGTAGACAAAATATTTAAGGGTGTGACGAGTTAGCAACGAATCTTGTCGCTTAGTAGATGTTCCTTTTGGGTGCTGTAGTGTTGTTAACATAAGCAAAAATCAGCTATGAATGAATTATTATAGTAAAAACTGTGCCTCTTCCCAAACACATAAAGAAGTCCTAATTTTGGCCATTATGAAGGTTAGAGCTTAAAGGCTACTTCGAATACGGAATCCCTGTTTGGGATGATAAAAGTGATCATGGGAAATATGAATGACTGAAGGGATCATCCAGCAGTTATGAAAGAGGCGAGTCTGAAATCCAGGTTCCATTTCCAGGTTCATGATTTCCTGCTACTTATTTATATGCCATTTACTTTTCAGAAAGAATTTTAGGCAACTTATAAGGTCCAGGTATAAAATAAATGTTAACAAAAAGCTGCATAATGGACACAGAGAGGTAACTGTCTGAAGAATTTATGCAGAGGATAATTTATTGCTCTCGAACCCTAACTTTATCACAGCTTCCTAGCAGTTAAGGAAAGATGAAAAAGCAGTATGAGTTATCCCATTGTCCAGTAAGAGGGAACTACAAAAGTGTACTTTTTTTCTGAGTCTTTAACTCTGAGGAATCGGATCGATGGGTTGTTTCTGGTGTCCCTTCTATGATAATGCTTTTCTTAGAATACACAGGAGTCCTTCTGAGCCCTTCTTTTCCTCACATCTAATCCATCCCCAAGTCCTGTCCGCCCTGTCTGTAGCATATGCATCCTATATATATATTTTTTCCGGACACCCCAAGTCTCTCTCCTATCTGATCTGATTTGGGAAACGCAGCATGTCATCTGAGTATTTGATTCAAACCTGCCTCCTTGAGAACATTTTCTGTGCAACAAGCAGCATGATACCGGGATAGAAAAACAGGTTTATCCTACCTTGTTGGACCTTGAGCAAATAATTTCACTTCTCTGGAACTGTCTCATTTGTTAAATGAGGGTTATATCTGCATTGCAGAGGATGTGGTTATGGAATGCGGTAAGGTGCAGAATCTTAAACCCAGCTGTGTCAGGGCTTCAGCCTCATCCATTTAGTCATGCCTATTTGCATTGGTTCTTATTCATCCCTTGCCTTCTTTTCTGTGCTAGAACTGAGGATGTGGCCGTGAATCGAGCAAGCACCCTAAGCTCAGGGAGCTCACAGGTTTCTTGGAAGACAGGCAGTAAACTCTGATGGCTATAAACTGTGAAATAAACTAGGGCTATGACAGTAACTGTGGAGGGGGTGGCCTGCTACACAGAGTGGTCTGGAAAGTTGACCCTTGAGCTGGAATCTCTAAAGGATAAAATGAGCCTTTCCAGTGAGGAGTTGGGGAAAGAGCAAGCCAGGCAGAGAAGGAAGTGCAGAGCTTCGTCAGGATAGGAAGGAAAGGATAGAGAATACCTGAGATGGGGAGTGCGGCTGTGTTTTATAGGATGATTCGGAGATGTTTCAGTGGACATTAAAAGAAATGCAGGTATCTAGGAGGGGAGAGGTTGCATCCATAGAAAACATCAGGTGCACAAACTGAGATAGGCCATGGAAACGAAGAAGCCTGAGATACTTTCATAATAGAGAACATCCTACTACCTTCATTTCCTTGGCCTATCTCAGTTTGTGCACCCGATGTTTTCTATGGACGCAACCTCTCCCCTCCTAGATACCTGCATTTCTTTTAATGTCCACTGAAACATCTCCGAATCATCCTATAAAACACAGCCGCACATCCGCACAGTTGCAAAGGATCCTCTTACGATCCTTTGTCTTCAACCTGACAAAGGTGGTCTAATTGTCTCATTCCCCCAGTAGAATTTAAGCTCCATGAGAGCAAGGGCTTTGTCTATTCTGTTCATCTTCATTCCCTAGAACCCCAAACCAAGCCTGCCATATGGTAAAAGTAGGAGGACGTCTTGAATGAATTCATGAGCAAACAAATGAACAAGTGAGTGAATAGAATATTTTGTTGCCACAGATCTGGTCTATGAACAGCCTTCTAGCTAGTTCCAGCCTGTGGACAACTCTCAGGTCATCACACAGATGACCTCCACTGTAATCCTCAGTGGAGGTCAAGCTTGAGATGTTATGTGCAAGTTAATTTTACAAGCCCGGGTGAGGCTCGGGACGTGACATTTCTTTTGCTTATTCTTCCTATATTCATGGTGTAACCAGACTACATATGAAACTATTCCTTAAAAAATGAATATTTGGCACTCAGATCTTATCTAAACTCAGCCTAGTTTTGAAACCACATAAAGACTCAGAACAACAAATCAGTTCTCCACAAGAGCACGGCTCGAAGAGGTAAATTATTCTCTGCATAAATTCTTCAGACAGTTACCTCTCTCTGTCCATTATGCAGCTTTTTGTTCTTTAACATTTATTTTATACCTGGACTTTATAAATTGCCTGAAATTCTTTCTGAAAAGTATAGTCTGGGTTTGAGGTTCTGCACCTTACCACATTCCATAATCACATCCTCTGCAATGTAGATATGACCCTCATTTAACAAATGAGACAGTTCCAGAGAAGTGAAATTATTTGCTCAAGGTCCAACAAGGTCGGATAAACCTGTTTTTCTATCCCGGTATCATGCTGCTTGTTGCACAGAAAATATTCTCAAGGAGGCAGGTTTGAATCAAATACTCAGATGACATGCTGCGTTTCCCAAATCAGATCAGATAGGAGAGAGACTTGGGGCGTCCGAAAAAAAAAAAAAAAATGTAAGACCAAGTGTTAAAACCAGTTTTGTTGCCAATCTTGTAAGTGTTCTTTAGTGGTGTTTTTAGGTTAGGCAGTTTGGTCAAAGGGTAAGACTGTCGATGAGGTGTGACTGTTGAGGAGTGCTCAGAGTGATTTTTTTTAGCTGAATATCAACTACTCTTGAGTTAAGTGGGAAAGAAGGTTGAGTTGCAACTTGGGACAGAGAAGCAGTGTTTTCTAGGCTGCTGCAGCAGGAGGGCATGCCTCTAAGCTCATTGAAAGTTACACTGCGATAATTTTGAAACAGCCTTACATCATTTAGAATTGGAATTTGGTGTTTTAAACACCTATTCTGACCTCCCTCTTATTTTCAAACTCATGATATTATGGCATGGTGGGATTTTTTCTTCTTTTTCTTCTTCAAGAATTAACTTTCTGGAATCCATGCTGAATAAACAATACATCTTGGCCTAGATTTGCTTTTTGTCTGCAAAATCAAAAATTGATGGATTAATGCTGTGAAAATTTATGGGGAAAGGTTTAGAACCCTGTAAGGTGAAACAGAGTAGCACAGTGATCAACGGTGTGGCAAAGCCGGCCTATTCCTCCTGTGAGCTGAAAGGGGTTCACATACCCAGCGATGAAACAACAAAAATATATTTTCATGGAGATAGCCAAGAGTTTCTTATCACATTAACACCATGGGGAACTTTGTATGGATTTTATCCTAGGGGAACAATACCTGAATTGTGGATTAAGATAATAAAAACTTGGCAAAGTTAAGGGTATTACCACCATAACTTGCTAAGAACCCCATTCCCCACAGTGTTTCTATAACAACACACGAGGCCAGGTCCATGGAGAAAGACTACACTTATGTGGTTGAAACTGTTTTGCTTGGCAAAGAAGACACTCTGCACATTTTGCTGTTCAGATACCATGTTTTAAGAAATTCAGTTAGCATCTGTGTGTCTATAACAGAATACACATTAAACAGACACACTCAATTAAACCTTAATTATAAAGTGGTAAACAGTGAAGTCTTTTAGAATCTGGCAACTGTGAACAAACTAAAAAAAAACTACAGAGGAAAAAAACACACAAAACTTGACATCATGAGGCATGAGCTCATTTCATACAGCTAAGTTTGTGTACATAATCGTATCCAGACACCTGGCACTGCCTTCCGTATAGAATTTTGACAAATGCTGAAATTTCGGCTCCAGTTTTCTTTTAATGAGCCTGAACTTGTATAATGTAATAAAGCAAAATTTTGAAAACTCATTTTCCCCCCTCTCTTCACAAGGTAAAAGGATTCTTCAGCTCTTTGAAAGAAAATGGTTCTCAGCTCCGTTGTGTCCAACAAACAATTGAAACCATCGAGGAAAACATACGTTGGATGGATAAGAATTTTGATAAAATCAGAGTGTGGCTCCAAAACCAAAATCTTGAACTGCTCTAACAGACTGTTTCCTTGTTGGTTCCTGTGATCTGTAGTCACCTACATGTTGTTGGATGTGAATACCTTCTACCTAGAGATGGCTGTTTGGGCTGCCCCCTGAAGACACCTCCTTTTCCTTTAGCTTCTTCCTCATTTGACCAGGCCTTAATTTTCCCATCAATGGGTTATTTCTTTTGTGTGTTTCATTTACAGGTGTTGCCTACAATGTAAACCCAAGAGGCGGGTTCCTCACTATTGAGGAGTAAAGTGCTTTATTCTTATTTTTTATTTTATACTTAAGCCCCTCAGTCTCTAAACCCTTCCCTCCCACCTTTGTCATTCAGAAACTTTTTTGTTAGTCTCCTTGGAACGCTGTGCACGGTGGGAACTACTGAGTGACCATTTGGATCCGCCTTTTAGATACTGTGTTTTAAAAAGATTAAGTTTGCATCTATGTGTATTTATGGAATACACATGAAATAGACACACTCAGAACCAGGGTGTCTGATCTGCTTCTGCCTTCTCTTCTTTGCCCGTGCCCAGGGGCGAATGTGAGGCCACCTCCTCGGGCTTCCTGGCCTCCAGCTTGTGGTCAGTCTCCCGGGAGGGCAGGTTGTGGTGGGGGAGAGGAGGTGGGTGTCCTCTCCGAGGTCCCTTCGGGCTGCCTCAGGCTGGCCTCCACTGCTCTGGAGGTGGCCCCTTTGCCCACTGAGCCTTCTCCATCTCCACGTTCTAGCAACTGCTTCCTTCTCGTCCCCAAAGGGTGAGAAGAGAAGTGGCAGCCTGGCTTTTACCAGTCTTGGCTGTACCTGTGGTTTCCATACATCCCTGTCCTGCCATTGTTTAAAAACAAAACACCACCTTGAATGACACCCTCCTCAAGTAATCCTAATTTGAGTGTCATCTACTCCTCAGGGATCCTGACTGATAGTGTCCCTTCTGAAACGGCAGAGTACATTCAGGTCTAGAGAAGGAACCTGTGGCTTGAAGTTGAACCTGAGAGCTCTTGATCCTTAGGTAGGTGCTTGTTGTTTGGCCTAGTTTACAATTCCTGAATTACTCAGTATTGCCAGTTATTGCCAATAAGCCATCGCAGAGTCTCCTGTAAATGACAATGTATGGTGAAACTGAAACTATTTTATATTCCTCTAACTGAGAAATCTTTTATGAGGTTTTTAATGCAGAATTTTCAAGATAAAGGAATGTGATAGGGAAAATGTCAAAATGTGTTCTCGTACACCAGGAATAGCGACTCTTTCTGGGCCTAAATGCATTTACAATTCCATTTTTAAACATTGCATGGTTTAATGGTTTGAGAAATAGAAACAGAAATCACTGGTAATTGCTACCCCAGGTATTTTCCGTCCAAAAACATACAAAGCCAAGATTTGAATGTAAAATATTTTTAATTGTATTTTACATCTTGATTAAAGAAATATGAAATGTGGAAATAGTGGTCTTCAGTTTGGTCACCTGAGGAACCTACTTTCCAATGCGTTGGGAGAAGTCCATTTCCTAAACGGACACAATATTGCCACAGCAATGTGCAAAACCTGTTCGGTAATAAAAGGCTATAATTTACCTGTAAGCAGATATTTGCCATTATTTCCTCCTAATTAGATGGGTTAAAAGGACCACTTTGGATGCTGAAGCTGACTCAAGCCATCATTAATTACTAAAAAACACCCAACACTTGAAGACATTTCTAATAAACAAAAAAGCGTAGTCAGAGTACGTTAAATGTTTACTTTTACAGGCATTTCTTAACTCTCTGGATTTTGGTATGCTGTTTAAAAATACTATATATGCATCAGGTTAATAACACTGCAGCCATATCCTTGCAAACACATCTGTCAATGTCCAAGGTTTTACCTTTTTGAACAAACAAAAAAAACCCTACTTTGTACTACCCAAATGGAAGAATTAGATATATAGTGAAAATCCCTCAGGAAACATGTGTTTTATTTTCTTGTCAGTGCCTTGAAGAGGTCTGTTCAGTCACCATAACACTGGCTTATATTTCCCAGACTTAGAATAATAGAAAAATGCTCTGTCTCTCTGATGGGACAGACATAGCATTTAAAGTGGGTGACGCTTGAAATCCCATAGGTACTGCATGATTTTTGAATTTATAGAGGGTCTTAAAATTTGACACCCATTATAAGCAGTGTTATTGACACCCATTATAAGCAGTGTTATTGTTTTTGTGTCTCTCCCCCCTTATTAGACAGTATTGGTGATGATATATTTAGTGAAGTCAGCTAAGTCCTAATAAATTAAATCTTCACACATAGGCTAAAGAAGGCTGTGCTCTCTGAAATAAGAAATTCCAAATCAGTGTATGATATGTACCTGATATCTTTTCCTGCCTTCACTACCGGGAAGTAAAGATGAAATTAAATATTTATCAAAATCTCATCAATGACCTCAGTGCTATGTTCATAAGCAGTTCATTCAGAAAGATCTAAGAAACCATTCAAAGTTGCAGGACAACAGAGCCTAGTTCTTAAGTTCCTGTGGGGGAAGGGAGCAAATTTTTAAATTCCAGGTTTCTTTTTTTAAAGCAGAAGTTTGGTTTTGTATTTGATAAACCTAACTTCCCATGAAGCCAGGTGCTATACAGTGCAACAGACTAAGCAAACTGCTGCTGCTCAGGTTTTATATAGAGTGAGTGGAAGCACAGCTTAACATAGTAAACCAACAGAGTTCAAGCCATATGAATATTCTGAGTACATTTTATTCTTGAGACTTGCTATGCGGTGAAATATAGTCTGTACCTTGCTCTTCTGACTTGATTCAAGTCTCAGTATGCTTTGTGAGGCAATAAGGTGCGTAACTCCTAACCTCTGGCAAATAGTTTAACCTGAAAAGAGGTGCAGTGCTTCCTGGTCTGTCCAGGTTACCTACCAATTTATTATTAGCAGCCCAAGAGGAGATATGTGCCCAATGTACAATATTTAATGGGCTTATAGACATTAACCCAGAGAAACATCAAATACAGTTCAAAAGCCCAAGAGGAAAGGGGTAATGAGAAATCAGAACATTGGCGAATGTTTACAGCATTGTTTTCCAAATGCTAACAATAACAACAAATTAAGTGCAAACCAAAAATACTAATGAGATTTACAGGCACTGCGTGTAGGATGTGCAAAATTTTGCAAAGGTTTCCCCCGCCCTCTGTGTGTGTGTGTGTGTGCTGCTTTAAGAAACTATCAAATATATCTTAGAAATATAAAGTTCTTTTCTCTCCCAACTGAAGGCAATTTTTAAAAACTCAAAGTTTATCAATACTCAGTACAATAGCACAGGTGAACCACACAAATTCAATTTTTTTCTGGGAAAAGAGTAACAAACCAATGTTTAGGATGTCAAAACACTCAGCAAAGATCACTGTGTAGAAGCCACCCAGAAAAATTTGTTGTCAAAGCCTTTTGTTCTCCAGAAGTCACCAACCACCAGCTGAAGATTTTATATGTAGATACCTTGAAAAATTCAGACAAAAATCCAGTGAACCACTTTGGTATGTAATTTTTGTAGTTACAAGGTATAATAAGTGTAACATTTAGCAAAAGCATACACACACACACACAAAGAAGGAATTTCCTATTGGTAAATATGAAAGTGAATTATTCATAGAATTTTTTTAAATTTTGGAGGGATTCTTTTAGAGTACTTCTCATCAGCATACCTCCCTCATTATGGAACTAAAAGTGGAACATAGTGAGAGAAATCTATATTTTTATTTCCTTTAGGCTTTGTTTGGCAAGAATTATAAGCTTTTATACTTTATAATAACATCTCTTCTTTCTCATGTTAAGGGTCCAGCTCTCAAGATAGATCTCTCTGAGATTCTCTCATCAATACAAGCTCGTGAGTCAACATAACGTATAATCAAACATAGTATTTGGCCAAAAGTAGCCAATCTTTTCCTTTGCCCTTGGTTCCAAAAACCCTCTACTTTCCTCCAGACCTTAAAGGGTACTTTTCCACACCCATCATGTCTTGGTATCAATAACATAGGGGCATTTGGCTGTAAGAGGTATTACAACATGCTAATTTTGCTTTGCCACAGTAATCTGCAAAAATATGAGCAATTGGGTTTCAAAGTGTCCCCTAGACTTAAGATGGTCATTTTCTTCAAGAGCCTAGCCTAATACTTTAGAGAGCTCTTACTATAAGATTGTTTTTGAACATCCCAATAGCACAATCGTCCCATTTAGTGCTTTTCAGAGAATTACTCTATAGATTTTGCAATGTGCATTTCATGCCAATATTTGAGAACATGAAATACTCAAGAAGCAGACTTAGCTTCTCTCGCCTGTAACACACAGGTTGGTAGAAGGTACCCTTGCCCTCATTTGCAACAAACATTCAACTTACCAAATAGTGTGAACTTTAACTTGTTTGTTTTTCATCAGCTTTTGGCTTGGAAGTTTCCTCCTTTGCCTAAAAGGGAAAGCAAAACCATCAAAAGCTCTTCCTTTTCCAGATTAAGTATCGTAAAACTGATCAACCAGAAGATCCTTCTGAGGAGATGGGCTTCTAAAAATTAAAGGGGCAAAACTTGGTAATCAATTAGGGAAAATGAGATGGTCTTTCTAATTATTTTTTTATTTAGCCAAAGCACTATGAATTCTTCCCCTTCAAGTTTATAAGTTAAAAATAACCTTAAGTGATTCTAAATGTTTTACTCTAGACTTCCTGTTTTAAAAAAAATATTTTATTGATTTTTTACAGAGAGGAAGAGAGAGGGATAAAGAATTAGAAACATCGATGAGATAGCATCATCGATCAGCTGCCTCCTGCATACTCTCCACTGGAGATGTGCCCACAACCACGGTACATGCCCTTGACCAGGATCGAACCTGGGAGCCTTCAGTTCGCAGGCTGACACTCTATCCATTGAGCCAAACTGGTTTCAGCCTTTTTTTTTTTTTTTTTTTTTTTTTTTTTTAAAAGATCAAGGTAATTGAGGAAAAGAATATGTATGTGTTTTTAGATGGAATTGTTCCTTCATTCTGCAGTGATTCCTCTCTCTGCAATGGAGGGAATTGCTGGCCAGCTAACCCATTCAGCATATAGGATTATTATGCTTTCTACTTTTTGTGAAAGGGTTGGTCATATGCTTTCTATAACTGAAGTTAAATAATAAGCAAATTAATCTATTTGAGATAATGGCATGAGCAACTTTGAGGTTTCACACGTAGGTGAGATCATATGTCATTTGTCTTTCTGACTTACTTCACTTAACCTAATGCCTTCAGGGTCCACCCAGGTTGTCACAAATGTCAAGATTTAATTCTTTTTTTATGGACAATAACCTATTGTGCATATATACATCACAGTTTTAAAAATCCATTCATCCCTAGATGGATACTTAGGTTTTCATATTTTGGCTCTGATAAATAGTGCTTCAGTGAATATGGGGGTGCACATATCTTTTTGAGTCAGTGTTTTCATTTTCTTTGGAGAAATACATAGAAGTTAAGATTGCTGTGAAAAATGCCATTGGAATTGTGATAGAAATTGCACTGATAGGCTTTGGGTGGTAAGTACATCTTAGTAATGTTAATTCTTCTGATTCATGAACGTGGGATATCTCACCATTGGTTTATGTTGTCTTAGATATCTTTCAGCAGTCATACAGTTTCTAGTCTGCAAATCTTTCATTTTCTTGGTTAAATTTATTCCTGTTTTATTGTTTTCGATGCTATTGTGCATGGGATATTTTCTTTTTCATATGTTTTATCATTAGTGTAAAGGATTACCAGTGACTTTTGTATGTCGATTTTTTTTTTTAATCCTGAAAATTTACTAATTAGTTCCAACACTTTTTTTGTTGACTTTTTGGGATTTTCTATATACAAAACCATACTTTTTCCTTTCCAATTTGAACATCTTTTATTTTTTTTGTCTTGCCTAAATGGTCTAGCTAGTTCCTCCTATATTGAAGTATTAAATAGAGTAGGTATCCTTTTCTTGTTCCTAATCCTACAGGAAAAGCTTCAGGTTTTTGTGTTTTTTTTTACGTTGAGTAAAATGTCTGCTTTGGGTTTGTTGCATATGACCTTTATTATGTTGAAGTATGTTCCTTCTATACCCTATAGTTTAAGGGTTTTTATCATGAAAGGATGCTGTATTTTAACATATGCTTTTTCTGCATTTATTGAGATGATCATGTGATTTCTATCTTTAATTTTATTTATGTGAAATATTACATTTATTGATTTACATATGTTGAACTCTCCTAGCATCCAGGGATAAATGCCAATCGGTCTTGGTATATAATTCTTTTAATGTGTTCCTGAATTCAGTTTGCTAATATTTTGAGAATTTTTGCAACTATATTCATCCTTACTTGGTTTTGGTATCAAGGTAGTGATGGCTTTGTAGAATGACTTTGGAAGCGTTCCCTCCTTCCTGCTATTTTGGAAGCATTTGAAGAAGCTTAGTGTTACTTCTCGAAATGTTTGATAGAATGCACCAGTGAAGCCATCTTGTCCTGGTGTGTGTGTGTGTTTTGGGAATATTTTGATTACTGATCCAATCTCTTTTCTGGTCTGTTCAGATGTTCTGTTTCA